GGTTTGAATCTTGGGATTGTATGGGCCAGTGTTTCTTAAACGTTTTCTCTCAGAACCCTTCCTACTTTTAAAAATTATGGATGGCCTCAAAGAACTTCTGTTTGCATGGAGTACATTTATCAATATTTACCATATTTAAAATTAAAGATGATGCATTTGCTGCTCCTACTGCTTCTCACAAGGGTTTGATGGCGTTTTAATATTATGTATAATTTTTCAACTGAAGCTTGTAAATAATTTTGATTTCGCAGACCTCTGTCTGTGGTTTTATTTGATTTGTTTGTTTTAGGAAGTTTTTATTGTTACATGATTTATAAAGCGAAGATAATGAGGTTGGAAGAAAATGTGAGTGGCTAGTTTGATTGAAGTCATTTTCTTATCCTGCCTTGGGATTAAGCCTTAAATTGGTGTGGTCCAACTCTTGAAAGCAGTGGTGATAGAAAAAGTATGGAAGCTATTATTATTGTTATAATTGCTGTTATTTAAATTTATTTTGAACTTGGTATTAGAGAAGATTCCTGAGAATACTGTGGATAGCTAAGAACACAAGCAAATGGATTATAGAACAAATCAATCCAGAGTCTTTAGTGAAGTCACAAATGACTAGGTTAATCGTTTATTTTGTACATCTTAAACAAAGACCTAGTTCCCTTGAGGTCCATAATGCTGGGAAAAGTGGAAGAAAATAGAAGAAGAGAATAACCTGCAACAAGATTGATAGTCAATTATAGCATTAATTGGTGAGCTGTTGAGAGCCCTGAAAGGCCAGACTGGGGACAGATCATGCTGGAGAAGGTCTATCCTGCTGGTAGTTGCAAAGCATCAATGCCTACCTGAAGGCATTTAAGCAAATAATCAGTGAAACATAGTATATAAATTTGGTAATCAGTTGTGTAAAAATATTGGAACAAAATTAAATGTCAAACCCTGGGACTATTAGTGCTGATTTGAATATATATTAATTACACCTTTCATTCTAGATGGACTGTCTCACATTCAGAGTTGTCTTTGGACATGTACAAGTGAGACAGAGCTTACCCTGTAAAGGTGTAATGCAAACATCTCTACTGATTTTAAGATGACAATATTACTTAGGTCTGTTACTTTTTTTTTTTTTTTAGATTTTTATCCTGCCTTTTTTATATGCAACTCAAGGTGGCAAGCATAGTATTCCTTCTTCCTCTTATTATCCTCACAACAACAACCCTGTAAGACTTGGGCTGAGAGATAGCGGCTGGTTCAAAGTCACCCAACTGGTTTTTCATGTCTCAGGTGGGACTAGAACTCACAATCTTCTGGACTCTTGCCTGGTGTCTTAATCACTATACCAAACTGACTCTCATGTCACTGGTTTTAATTAAATAATATATACTCATCGGCCAAGCATATGCTAAATGGCAGCACTTACTTGACCTTATTTGATTTTGAAAAACTTAAGCAGTTGGATGTGATTATTATTTGGGAAATCATAAAACAACAATGGGTTTGTAAGCTAAACCGGAAAGAGAAAGAAAGAGAGGGGGAGAAAAAAACCCATTGCATAAGAAGGCTATGACAAACCAATTTTGATTTATTGTTATGAAAATAAAATGGGCACCAGGAGTCTAGTTCAATTTAAGGGATTGTTTAATGTTTGTGCATGAAATCAATAGGACTGAAAAATGTTTCATTTGTCAAACAATCCACTGTAGTAGGGAGGAGGTGGAGGTATCAGTCACAAACACAAACTTGTCAAACCTATGCCTAAATCACTATCCTTGAACTCTCCCAACTGAGGTCAGAGATATGGCTATTTCCCTGGGTGAAAGTATTGCACTCTGGAAGGAAGTTCTCTTAAATGGGGAGAACTGGAAATCTGTTTTCCCAAGAATAAGGTTTCAAATAAACAGCCCATTTTTTCCCCTTTTAATCAGACTAGCCCAGGGGTAGGCAACCTTGGCTCTTTTATGACTCGTGGACTTCAACTCCCAGAATTCTTGAGCCAGCCATGCTGGCTCAAGAAATTTTGGGAGTTGAAGTCCACAAGTCATAAAAGAGCCAAGGTTGCCTACCTCTGGACTAGCCAAACCCAAAAGTGTTTCGGAATGTATCATACTAGGAAAAGACCAATGCTGGATTAACCTGAAAATAAAGGATCTTTATTTTAAGAAGGCAACAAAGGATTGTTTTAGAAACGTATGTCATCTGTTTCAAGCTACATGAGGCTGAGAACTGCCTATTAAAACTAATTATCATTAATTTGAGCAAGCAAAATAAAGGAGGACAGAGGAAGGAAGAGTACAGATTAATGCTACACCAGAGAACACAAACAGCACTTAGAGTCTTAGAAGAAATTAGAAATTCTTTACACATTTGTCTATACTTTCCCTGACAAATTTATCTTACTTGTTTCAATCCCCTCAGGATTTCTAGACATTGGGCTTGAATTTCTAGGCCTAGTTCACGGGTAGGCAACCTTGGCTCTTTTATGACTCGTGGACTTCAACTCCCAGAATTCCTGAGCCAGCCATGCTGGCTCATGAATTCTGGGAGTTGAAGTCCACCAGTCATAAAGGAGCCAAGGTTGCCTACCCCTGGCCTAGTTAGACAAAATATATTTCCCAGCCAAGGCGCCCTGAAAACCATTTCCTTTCCCCTTGAATCCAATTCATTTTGTCTTCCCCTGGAAGAAGACAATGGCTATCTTTACAGAATATTTAAAAGTCCCCACCTAGCCAGCAGAAGACTTATCAATTACAGATAGTCCTTGGCTTACCACAAGTGAGCCCAAAGTTTCTGCTACCAAGGCAATTGTTAAGTGAGTTTTGCCCTGTTTTGTGACCTTTTTGCCACAGTTGTTAAGTGAATCACAGCAGTTGTTAAGTAAATCATGCAGTCATTTAGTGAATTTGCCTTCCCCCATTGATTTTGTCAGAAGCTGGCTAGGAAGGTTACAAATGGTGATCACATGACCCAGGACTCTGCAACTGTCATAAATACATACCAGTTGCCAGGCACCCAAATTTTGATCACATGACCATGGGAATGCTGCAATAGTCATAAGTGTGAAAACTGGTCATAAGTCACTTTTTTCAGTGCTGTTTTAACTTCAAACAGTCACTGAACAAATGGTAGTAAGTCCAGGACTGGAAGCCCCTGGCCTATTATGGTGACCTATTGATACTTCTGTCTCTGCATATTGTTGATATTTAGTATTTTATCTTATATATTTTAGTATAGTTTTGATAGTTCTTCAGAATGGCTCCCAGTAGTCTCCCATACTGTACTGTATTGCTGTAGGATTGTTAATTAAATGATGTTCAGATCAAATTACTTCCTGTACACTATTAAGGAAACAATTTCACATTGTGCTTACTTAAGGCTCTTGCTTTTAATTATAGGTTAGCAACCACTCAAAGATTGTGAAACTGTTACACTAATATTAAAAAACAATGTACTGTATATGTAATGGCTGGCCTAGAAATTGGGAAATCATGAGTTCTAGTTCTGCCTTAGGTATGAAAGCTGGCTGGGTGACTTTGAGCCAACCACTTTCTTTCAGCTCAACTCAATTCACAGGGTTTTTGTTGTGGGGAAAATAAGAGGAGAAAGGAGGATTATGTATGTTGGCTGCCTTGAGTAAATTATAAAGTAAGACAGGTGGGATAAACATGTAATAAATAAACAATCTGGAAGCCTCTGTAAAAAGTTATTGATAATGGCACTTTTAACCAGTATTCATTTTATTTTATGATAATTTAGAAGGCCTAATCTTCTTTCCTCTATTTCATAGTATAGAATAACATATGCATATACACTCAACTTCTGGATATCAACAGAACTTTATTACAAGCTTAGTTACAGGAGAGAGGGGCTCTTTCTCAAAGAGATAACATAGCTTAAAATCCTTGATATGTAGGAAGAGGGTGGAGGTGGACAGCACCTAGTTGTTTATTGAGTATATCTAATAGTTATGTAGATAAGTGGTTTAGTCTGGCAAGATTCTGTTTGTAGGTGAACAACAATAAAAACTTCTCTGAAGTTAACTTCTCATGTCATTCTTGGTTCCTGGGTCTGAAACATTAAATCTCTATTTACTACAAGTTGTAAGGCAACACTTCATTCTTTATGCAAACAATGTAGCTGGTGCAGTATGGATAACAATGTCTAGTCTATGGATAGAAATGTCATGAATGTAGAAAGCATAGCCATATAAAAATATGTGCATATATTGAGTCATATACTGAGGACAATGGCTACAAGGAATGGTGGTGGGGTCACTGTGAAATGGAAAGGCAATCCATATGATATAAAGACATTTGTAGTATTAACTGCAGAAAACTATCTTGGAAGGTTACAAATAGTCAGCTGTGTTGACTCAGTCAATACAGAACTATCACAGGGGAAAAATAAAATTCCAGGTCCATGCTTGTGCAGATATGTGATGGTCCTGGGTTATTATTTTTTTCTTTCTAAAGCATCCCTCTGTGCCATATCCCAACTGTTTAAAAGATCATTCTCAAAAGCACAGTAGGTTGCAAGAGACATGGAAGATTGCCAAAATAGGGGTGCTCCATCTTAAATAAGCAAAACTGATTTCCACCAGGATAAAACCACCAGTCTTTAAGCTCAGGATGTTTGCTTTTTTTTAAAAAAATCCATGGGATACCTCTATTGGCCAAGTAGAGAAATGGGACAATTTTGCTGTCCCCCCCCCCCTGCATGTTTTGAATATCAAGAGCCTTCAAATCAATGTTAAAGGTAACTTTGGAGTTCCAAATAGAAAACCATTCAGTAATTCACCTGGGAAACAAATCTGCAACCAACTCAGTGTTCTTATAGAGGAACTGAAAGCCTTTGGCAGACATCTCAGGAAATCTATTTCAATAGATTTTCACAAGGAAACCAATAAAGACGTGCAAGTACGGAAGACTTCACACTTCCATAGATCAGAGTGCTGCCCCTTTTAAATAATTACTGTGTCACTAGGGTGTTAATTAAATGTTTATCTTGAATTTTAGATTCCACTGATGAAAGATCCTGGCTGGATCAGAGATGTCTGGACTCGTAATGTCAATGTAAGTATGTTCTTTTTACATTTGTATTTACGTCAAATGTAAAAAAAAGAAAAGAAAAAAAGAAGTCCCTGGGGTTTTACTCCGCTAGTTGTTGCCAACTGTAGGGGGCGGTGCTCATCTCAGTTTCCAGGCCATTGTGCCAGTGCTGTCCAAAGACATTTCTGTGGTCATGTGGCCAGCATGACATCATGGAACACTGTTAACCTTCTCACTGAAGTGGTACCTATATATCTACTTGAATTTACATGCTTTCAAACTGCTAGGTTGGCAGGAGCTGGGGCAAGGACGGGAGCTCACCCTGTCACGTGGCACTTGGATCTTGAACCTGGGCTGCTAGACTTTCCAACTGACAAATCCGGCATCTTAATTGTTGAGCCATCGCATTGTCTCTTCTCGTTTCTTGGCCTTTTGGCTAAGATCATGTGTAGCATCTATTCTTATCAGTTTAATATCTGACTTCAAATGTAAGATTTTTAAAAAGTCATGGTGGAAGGATTTTACCATACTCATCATGCCTGGAGTGTCCTGATTCCCATAAAACTTTTCACAACTTGTCCTGCAATGTCATCACCTCACATTCACAAACAAGGGAGATTAAAATCTGAAAATCACATTGAGAAAACCATAAGTCTCAGTCTCCTACTCCTTCAATAAGTCAAAGTTATCTAAATGATTCATCTTAGTCACCTGATATAGTTCATCAGCACGGCCACAATTGTTTTGTCACAGGTCAGAAATAAAGGCTCTCAGAGAGGTAGTAGAAACATCTGTTCTTATGTTACACACTTCATCCTGAAGTACAGCCATAAAAATTTATGTAGATCAGTCCAAAGCTGATGTTGAAGTCCAGGCATTGTAACATTGTTGAAGTTGAGAAATATTGATGTGTATATCAGAAAGGAAAAACTTCATGTATCAGCAAATTTGTGCCTGTCTTAAAAGCTAATTAGAAGTCAACAATAATATTTTGAAAGAATCTTCTGGATCAAGCTTTAAGTTATATGTGAAGATTTATATTACAAGGTATTGAAAGAGAATTATCAGCAAGCAAAATTATATTTATTTCTTTGATTTATACTCTGTTTTTTTCCTAAAAGCTCAAAAAAGTTGGAATACATCTGACTTGTTTTATCTCCACAAAGACAGAATAACTACCAAAAGTCACCCAGTAAATGTCCAGGCTTAAAAGTGGAGTTAAATGTGGACCTAGTACCTTAACAGCGGTACCACATTGGATCTTATGGGTAACTTTTGACCATCATTGTTCAGTACCAGTAATAATTCTTCATCTTCAATATTGAAAAAGTAATTCAGCTAATATTTCACCCGATATATGGGTGCCAAATCTTTGCTGGACTTCTAAAAGATGCCTTCATACACCCCAACATTACTGAAATCACACAGGATTTCAGCAGTCTTCTTTCTGAATAGGGACTTGGGGGAGTGGAGAATCAGAAAAGATGCCCATTCCTTTAATAGAAATAGTAACTGAATAGTAACTGAAATTGAAAGTTCTTGCTTAAAATAGTAAGAGATTAGAACAGGCTGTCAAAATAGAACACTAACTGCAATCTGGGTTCTTTTATGCAGAATTGGATTTGGAGAGACAGAATTCTCTAATGTCATATTGTGTTTATTTTTTCTGAGGAAACTTTACAATGAATAAGATATAAGGGTTGAATTTGGAGAAACAGAGTGTTTTAGAATAAGAAGGGGAATGAAACAAGCAGGAATATTCTCTCTATGTATAATTTACACAGAGAATATATTGTTAGAAAGGCAAGAGCGAAGATTGGAATCAAACAGACCAAAATATGTTTCAGATATATGGAAAGTGCTGAAAGCGGGGAACAAGAGAAAAATTGTGAAAATAAAAATGGACATTGAACAATTCAAGTGGATGTTAAACATTAAGATGAAAATAACGTCAACCATCACAAAACTTGCAATAACAAGAAGCGGCTGATGGCTTTGAATTCTTGAACTCAAATAGGAAAGTAATCCTAATTTAGTGCTGTGTCCTTTACGTCAGGGCTCCCCAACTCCTGGTCCGTGGACCAGTACCGGGCTGTAGCATGCCAGCAACCAGGTCACACAAACAAGCAAAGCCCCATCCGTGAGATGCAGGCAGCACACTAAACCACGCCCCTCTGGTCCGTGGAAAAACCTCTCCTGGTGCCCCAAAAGTTGGGGACCTCTGCTTTACGTGGTAGCAGCTCTTCCGCGTCTCACATTGTAAATATGCAAAGTAACCATTTTAATGTGTAACAAACCATGAGACTAGAAGTCACCTTTCTGCAGGCTTTACTTTTTTCTGAAGTAAAGGCTGGTAGTTTAAAATCTGCTCTTGATAAACCAGGATAATCAAACATCTAGAGGGTTAGCAATCTACCTAGTAATACTGTGTGAGGATGCTCATGCAGTGTTATCCTGAACAATGCTAAAGGAAGCATTCTCTCTTCCCTCAGATGAGCAAGGGATGTGGCAATATGACACCCATATGACAACCTCTTGGAATGTTTGCTTGGCCCTACTTAGATTACAAAATGTGGAGGTACTGGAGGCAGAATGAAGAGGTCATCTGAGGAGCCAATATGTACACAGATATTATTTTCACAGATTTCTGGGTAGGACTTGTATATTCTTTTGCTAAACAGTTTACTCTTGAGAATGTAAATGGGTTCCAGGAAATTGGGGTGGTGTTGTGCGGAGCTTCCGTTGATTTTAAACTTGCTATGCTACTTAAAAGGTAGGATTTGGATCATAGAGACTTATGATCCCACTCAGAGTGAAGCTCATTGATGACTTTGTCTGTTGATCTTCTGCCAGTATAATCTATGCCTGAGGATTGCTGTGATGCTAAAATGGTAGAAGAAAGAACTTTGTAAATAGTTTCTAATTCCTTGGAAGTAAGATGTAGCAAAGACATCTGTTGCTTGCCAATTTGTCGGTATAGTATACTGGAAATGCCGGCTTACCACTTTAGGCTGGGCTTTTACAATCTTAAAGCAATAAATAACATTCCACAGGTTTTTTTTTAAAACATATAACTTTATTACAGAAACTGTGAACAGAATACAAACAATACTAACTTTGAACTGAAGAGAAAAAGAATAGGAAAAAGTACTAAGAAAGTGAAAAAGAAAGCCCAAATTCTTACTAGCAAAGTTATTTACCCTATACAGGCCTAGTGGTCTTGTGCAAGGTTTCTAGACAGATATAAACAAAGGATGCAACTGACAAAACATCTTGCATGGCAGAAAGGTGCTGTCTGAAATAGGGAGCTCCCTTGAATCAGTAACTGCTTTTGCACACAGTATGTCAAAAAGAATAGAATAGAATAGAGCTGGAAAGGACCTTAGAGGTCTTCTAGTCCAACCTCCTGCTCAGGCAGGAAACCCTATACAAGTTCAGACAAATGGTTGTCCAGACTCTTCTTAAAAACTTCCAGTGTTGGAGCATTCACAACTTCTGGAGTAGGTTGTTCCACTGGTTAATTGTTCCGTCAAGAAATTTCTCCTTAGTTCTAGGTTGCTTCTCTCCTTAATTAGTTTCCATCCGTTGCTTCTTGTCCTGCCCTCAGGCGCTTTGGAGAATAGCTTAACTCCCTCTTCTTTGTGGCAACCCCTGAGATATTGGAACACTACTTTCATGTCACCCTTTGTCCTTCTCTTCGTTAAATTAGACATACCGAATTCCAGCAACTGTTCTTTATACAAGAGTGAGTTCCGTAAATCTAGAAACTCATTTCTGAGGCAGTGGCAAAATATCTGAAGAGAACAAATTATGCAAGCATAATTTTGTGCAGCCTTACAAAGTGGCAGAAAGCATGTTAAACAAATTGTCCAGATGGATCGTATTGATCTCTGAATGAATTCTGAATATTCTCACTTATTCTGGACTCTGAATTCCCACTGAATTCTATGGGATATTTTCAGGGAGATGTGTACATAGGATCCCTATAATTCATTTGAGTGTTAGATATTACCACTTCACTTATATTAATAGATACCTATTCTTTGCTGTAATTTTAGATGTCACATTTAATATAATTTTAGTGTTTAATTAAAATTTAATATAGGCTGCATCCTGGCTTTCACATATTAGAAGCCGGTTAGATTGCTTTACAAATGTATTTTAACTCTGTCTTAAATTTTATTTAGTATCTGTACTTGTCTTTCACCTTGAATAAATTGATCTGAATTATTGATTGATGTACAAAGGATTATATCACAAAGCTGTATATCCTCTGTACACTCCAGCAGTAGTAGGCTTGAAATTGTGTTTCTAATCTTTGTGGCTTAGATAATTTGAAAATATGATTGTGCTATTATCATTGTAACAAGAAACCAAAAGATAATTGATGGGTGGTTTTGAGCACATATATAGATTTTCTTGCGGTAAATATGGTTGGGTAAAACACAGTAAATAAGGAGTGTCAAAACCTTTGTACATTTTATTTTCACTGTATCCCAAGTACATAAATAACAAAAAATAAGTGATAACCAAGTTGCTATGATTGATCTGAATAAGGACTAATATTTAATCCAAACTTCCTTGAAAATGAATCCTACTGAACTAAATAAGCCTTGCTTGCAAATTAGTATAGTATAGGAACTGACAACCTCTCTCTTTTCCAAAAAAACACTTCAACTGTTCTTGAATTGCTGTTAAAGTTATACATAAATGTATCTTTAAGTAAGTAAAACTGGGCTATCCAAGTAAATTAAATGGTATTACGAGATATATTCAGGAATTAATACAGCCATGTAATAGTTGGTTGAAATGGAGGACATTAAAGGATAAGGAAATTTTCAATAATGTTTCTGAAACATCGCAATGGCTTTAAAACGTTTCCTCCTATTCTGATTTTAATTATGTACTAGACCAGGGGTAGTGAACCTTGGCTCTTTTATGGTTAATTGTTCTGTCAAGAAATTTCTCCTTAGTTCTAGGTTGCTTCTCTCCTTGATTAGTTTCCATCCGTTGCTTCTTGTCCT